TGGACAGGGAGGAACGCTGGTTTGAGGGCGGAGTCAAGGAGGCCATTTACGTGAAAAGGGAAAGACCATCTCTGAATCAAAGAGGAGGCCTAAGGGTACATTTGTCACCATCTTACAATGCTGTGATTGCAGCCATTCCCCAACTCTCTGTGAATGGTACTCATGGCCATTGATCAGTGGTCTTTGATCAGTGGTTGTTGATCAATGGTCATGAGACTTTGCATAATTAAGATTAAGGAACTGACCTCCCAGCCCATTTGTTCCTTCAGTGGGCTGTTTTCAGTCATTATGCAAATGTAACTGTTTATAAGGTTAGGGAAACCTGCAGTCAGCTGAGACTGAAGAAGTCATTTGGATGAGTGACGAAACGTTTCTTGGGAGAAACATTATGTCCAGATGAACAGAATTAACTATTGGAGAACACAGATTATCGTTTTACATAAAAGTACTCAATCATACAGTAACCGAAATGTCCATTCAAGTATTCAATTTCACTCCCAAAACTGACACACATCTATACGTAACATTGGTTCTCACTTTAGGTATTTCAAACTTATAAGACCCCCTCAAATCATATTTTCCATCTCTTAGTTTAAACATACTTAAAATACAAATTGGAAAATTCTTTTTCATAACTAGATACATTATTTCTAAAGTTTTAGAATGTATAATGTCCATGAATTTTAACATAGATGATCCTACAAAAACTGGTTGGTGGACTCCTTAAATCCAACTTTATTTATTATTCCAATAGCTCGTTTTTGCAATTTAAAGTGTGTGTGTGTGTGTGTGTGTGTGTGTGTGTGTGTGTGTCAGTCAAACAAAGGGAAGTATACAATGGTTCAAAGCTAAATAAGACATGAAAACTTCATGTACAGGATATTCAGTCAAATCTGACACAAATCTATTGAAACTCCTGATGATGGAAAAAGTAACGTTTTAAAAGCTCCTCCCCTTTCTAACATTCACACTCCAATGGATAAATCGGAGAGCAGCTTGGGGTTAGTATTTTGCAGCATCCAGAGTAGAGCATCTAGGTGTTTAACCATTCCCATTAAGTAGATTACTTACAAATGAAGAGTCTATTTTGTCCAGTAAGCTGAGCGTTATAATGTAAACAGTAAAATGTATTGGATGTGGGCAGAGATGCTCTTTATTTCAGGCGATGTTCAGGATAAAAATGTTGAAGGAATTCCCTGACTCTCATTGTCTTTGTGTCTTTGTTTAGAAGCAGAGCGACACAGATGGATCCAGTTCTCGACCCTGTCATCACTGTGGTGGTGGGAAAAACTTTCACTGTGACCTTTGTGGAAAAATGTTCAGTAATCAATGGAGCCTAACAATACATCAACGTAGACACACTGGAGACAAAATGAACTACTGCAAAGAATGTGGGAGAGGCTTCCCCACACAGAGTCAACTAAAAAACCATGAAGTCATTCACAGTGGGGTCAGAAAGCACGTCTGTGACCAGTGCGGGTCATCCTTCACCACTCCAGGTGACCTTAAAGTGCATAAACGAGTCCACACCGGAGAGAAACCATACAAGTGCAGACACTGTGACAGAAGCTTCTCGCAATCATCTGGTCGTAGCAAACATGAACAAACACACTGGAAGAGAATTTCAGCTGTGACCAGTGTGACAAGAGCTTCAGGAATCTCAGTTCAAACTCCAAACACAAACGATCCCACGCTGTAAATAAACTGTTTCACTGTTACCAATGTGCAAAATCATTCACTTCATTATCTGCTCTGCGCAAACATCAGCATGATCATGCAGGACTGAAATCACTGGATCACAATGAATCGGAAGAGACAGAAAGATCCTCTTCTGGTTTCAGGGTCAGACTTAAACACCTTGAGATCAGGCTCCACAGAGTTCAGCTGGAGTCTCCTGTAAAGAGTGCAGCTGATGTCACACTTGGATCTGATGAGGTAGCTCTGATTTCTGGGCCTGCAGTGTATATAATCCTGAATGTTTCATCCAGGAAGCTGGAATACAATAGAATCCCTTTATTGTTGTTATGCAGATGTACAATAACATACAGAGCATCTCCTACTCAGTACAAACATGTAAGCAGGGGCTTACCGTTTCTACAGTACTATATACCCATTGGACAGTGTTTGCAGAAAACCAAATATATTAAAAAATATCCAAATATAGAATTGGTGGTTCAAAAGTTACAATTTGGATTATTGAAAAGTACTTGTTTATAGAGGGAATAATGACCATTTTAAAGATTTTGAAACCTGTCGTTGCCTAGTTTCACTTTCGTGTCTTTACGCTCTCCTTGAAGTCCACATGTTATTAAATGTATTTTGATTCACATGTTCTGCAGCTGTTTTCTTGTTGATTTGAAGTTTGTGTTATAAAATCCTGATACACTTAAAGCATTAGTTATATTTGATGAACTCTGTCTAGTGTTTTCTTAAACAGTTTGATGTGAAAAATGTGTAGTTTGAGCCATGATTTCAGGTTCAGATCAACTGTTTTCAGTGGCAGAGGTGGAGGTTTATCAGAGGAGACTTGGCTGTTCTCCGATCACACTGAACAGGGTTCCTGCAGCTTATTATAAACTGAAATTCTCTTCAAGGAAAATAAGGTCATAAAATTTTATCTCAAAACCTTGCTGTAGGTATGAAGTTTGCAAAGGGTGTGTTTAAGATGCTAAAAGGATGAGTTTTCCTTCCAAACTGCAAACAAGCTGTGCTTTCTAACAACCAAAGTGAGATTAATCAGACTACTTTCATAATCCATAAGGACATTATTATGTACAGAAGGGTAAATTGAGCTTAAGAGTTTTCAGTGTCATGAAAATGACTCTCCTTTTACCTGACTATAATCACTATGGTAAGCAGGGATGCACCAATACCGGTATCTGGTATCGGCCTCAACACCACATTTTCTAAAGTACTCGTTACAAGTCCCCCGATAACGGGGACCGATACACCGGTTTGAGAAATGTCTATGTTTGAGCGGCAGGTAAGGGGTTAATCACAGGTGCCGAGTTCCCACCCCCAGGCCCCGCCTGCAGCTCAGCGGGGAGAAGGCGAGGCGAGACATGTCAGCCAACACAACTCACGCTGCATCAAACTCTTGCAAGACGAGCGAAAATGTCCAGAGACAATCCACGTGCTGTGAAAATAACACAGGCAATTATCGAGTACATTGCATTGAGTGACCAGCCACTCTCGGAGGTAGAAAATGTGGGATTCCTGTATCTCCTCCATGTTCTGGAGCCCAGATATGATGTCCCAAGCCGCCACTACATGACTGACATGGAGCTGCTTAAACTACACGACTCCGTGAAAAAACATCCACAGCCTGCTGCAAGCCTCCTCTGCGTTTAGTTTCACCACGGATATTTGGACAAGCAGTGTTAGCCCCGTGTTGCTAATTAGCCTAACCTCACAGTGGATAGACGAGTTTCACGCAGCAGCAAGCCATATTACATGCAAAACAATTGCGCGGCTCGCACACCAGCCAGGCTATAGCGCATGTGTTTGATGAAACGCTCCAGACATGGGGTATTCCTAAAACATCAGTACATGTTGTGCTTCGTGACAAAGCCAAAAACATGATTAAACATGATTAAAGCCATGAATGACGCAGGGCTCCCAAGTCTGCCATGGGTCGCGCACACGCTCCAACTGGCTATTCACGGAGGCTTATTAGCACAGAGGAGCATAGCTGATGCTTTAGCAGTGGGGCGGAAAATAGTTGGGCATTTTAAATATTCTACCTTAGCCTACTCCCGCCTCGAGGACATTCAGGGACAGCTCAACCAGCCAATAAAGAGACTGCAGCAGGACGTACAGACGCGCTGGAACAGCACGTATTACATGCTCCAGTCCCTCATTGAGCAAAAGCGAGTGGTGGGCGTGTCCGAGCATGAACTCCCTGGCTGTATCCCAATTTAGGGACCATCAGAGACCCTTGTCTAGTAGAGCGCAGTCCTAGGAACAACTAAGATACTACGCAGGACATTCAAGGGGCGAGAGGGAATATTTTAAATATTTGATATGTACCATGTCTGCTTGAGCAGAAGTGTGGTGAATGGTTGCTTGTCAGCGTTGGTTCTCTTTCACTCTAGCTGTGGCTGTCCTCCAGATTTTTGAGCCTCTCTTTGCCTCTGTTTGCACCCACAAACTTCCATTAGTCAACTAAAATGTGCTTCATATTTTGTCTGTCACAAGTTTCTTGCTCTGATATTCAAATCATTGGTAATTGTTAGAAAAACAGTAGCTTGGTGTACATGTACTGAATGTGATTCTAACTGCTTTGGATAACATATAATAATGATGGAAAATAAGCATTTGGTCAATAACAAAAGTTAATCTCAATACTTTGTTATATACACTTTGTTTTCACAAGCCCAACAATAACACTTCTCACTATTGCCAATATTAACAAAACTAAAAAGGGTAGGCCAAGTTATATATATTAAGAAAAAGAAAATAAATAATGATGCTGTAGTGTTCATTTGACTTTGGGACCTGAAGTGGAGTTTGTACCCGGAAACGGCTAATGACATCAGACTTCTAAGACCAGATTCCAAGTTCACCATCAGGATCGCTCAGCGTCGACATCATGAGAACTAATTATAATGAAGGCCGTTACATTTAGAAACATCATCGTGTCTTAAACATAAAAATATAATGCTACTTTAGCTTGTGTCACATATTCAGTGAAATTAAATAACTTAAGCCATCACGTACAATGGTTTGCAATAACATGTTTATCAAAATGGGTGATGTATTTGGGATCATTGTCATGCTATAAAACCCAGCCACCTTTTATGTTCAATATCCTTGCTGATGGAAGGAGGTTTTTCACTCAAAATCTGACAATAATTAATGAAAATTGTAAATAATTAATGAAAATTGTAAATAATTAATGAAACTTGTAAATAATTAATTAAACAAATACTTTTGACACATTTAATTATTTATTTCACATTTTAATTAATTATTGAGACATTTCAATACTTATTTAATAGTGTATTTAATTAATTCATTTTGGCACACTTGACTCTTCATGTCTTACCATGAATTTATTTTATCTGTCAACCTCACCCATCAAACCCAGGGGGCGGGGTTAACGCTAATCAAGTCAAAACCATTGCTTTAGCCTGGTGGCCGTTGTTTTTAGAAGGCGTTACTGGATATCAACAAACGGCATGTGGAAACTAAGAGAACTGAACTTTGAAAAACCCTGTTTGTGTGTCACCAAATACCATTGTAATATTTTTTTAGCTGAGAATGTAGCGGTTTAATCTTCATGTGTCTGGTCGGTTTGTCGAGATACAGCCTCTTTGCAAAAGTGCTTTGATGATTTCGGCGACGTCTGCCCAGCACAGTCTTACGGCAAAGCGTGCGAGAGACCCAAAGCGCAGGCCCCGGTACTCAGCTGCCATAACCCCCGCAGTACACTGACTTCATTTACTGAGGTTATATTTATCGGGTTTTTATTTCATAATGTTCATATGTGTCATAAATGTTTAAGTCGCCAGTTCTGAATCATAACTAACATTAAAAACATGTTTAGGAGGAGAGAGAGCAAAAAAATCAGATTATTCCGGGGCGATCGTGGCTCAAGAGTTGGGAGTTCACCTTGGCCTTCGCCCGACTCCGACAGTCTCGGTCGTTGTGTCCTTGGGCAAGACACTTCACCTGTTAGCTGGTGGTGGTCAGAGGGCCCGGTGGCGCCAGTGTCCGGCAGCCTCGCCTCTGTCAGTGCGCACCGGGTGGCTGTGGCTACAATGTAGCTGCCATCACCAGTGTGTGAATGTGTGTGTGACTGGACGTGTAAAGCACTTTGGGGTCCTTTGGGAGTAGTAAAGCGCTATACATATACAGGCCCTTTAACATCTGATCTTTGGGTTTTTGTTGAATACTCAGCCTGACCTGTGTATAAACACAAACTTTATTAAAAGAAATAACATTGGTGTTTCCATCATGGTAAATGGTAAATGGCCTGTATTTATATAGCGCTTTACTTAGTCCCTAAGGACCCCAAAGCGCTTTACATATCCAGTCATCCACCCATTCACACACTGGTGAATGTGTGTTATCATGTAGTACCAGCAGTTATCATGTAGTAACTGCTGGCTTTAACTGTACAAAGGTTGTTCGACAGTATGAAACACATAGAGACTTCATGATGTTCGGCTAATATTTTTATTGTGAATATTAATCATGAGGGTAAACGGCCCTGTATACCACGGAGCGAGGTCAGCATATCCACGATATCTTCAGCTCTCTGTGTTAACCCATCAAACTAATCTAATGGTCATCTACGAATAATTCACGGGTCATATCAATATGATTTTAACAAAAATCATCCTTAATACTGCCAACTATTCCAGAGACATGCACTCAAACTTTACAACCGCATCACTTAACACTGCAGTTTTACATGTGCACTTTTTTTTTTTTTTGCAGTCCATTCTGAGCTTTGACAGCGTGTCGGTCTACGTGCCATCGGGTGAGAAAGCCGACAAAGACAAAGCAAACCCCATGCATTACCAAAGATTCACACCAAACTTATCACAAAGATGACATTCTTGGTTGCTTTAACAAACATTTTATTATGTCACGGTTTCATTCACTCATGATTTGTCGTGAGCACTTCTTTAGTTTGAACCCAGTGACAGTATGAAGTTATTAGATTTGTTTTTATCTCAGTGTTTTCACTTCCAGCCATAAAGTATTTCCACATGGGGCTCCTCTTTTAATTAATTCCAATTTTAATTAATCATTTAATGGTGTATTTAATTAATTCATTATGGCAGTCCTGGCGTTCCATACTCTTTCTCACGCTCTCATCTCAAAAATGTGATTTCTCAGCGTAGCTCCATCATGTGACCGCACAGAAACGAATAACAGCAGAGCAGGAAATAAGGGGGCGGAGTAAAGTGTACCGCAGAGGAGACGAGCAGAAAGAGCTCCTTTTTCATGAAACGGGAGTAAAGTACTGAACTTTGAGGAGAGAAAAAACCGAAGTATCGATCATAAACCACTACCAACGTTTGTATCGATATCTACAGCCATCTGCCCACCCTTGTCTCCTGGCTAGTAGCTGAGATCAGCGTGAACCGACGTGGTTCACGCTGATCTGTTTCCTGTGTTTGGAAAGAGTTCCAGCTTCATCGCGGAGTTTCATCTAAAGGTAAGCACCGAGCTAACTTTACTGTGAGTTCAGTTCATGTTGAGTTTAGCTCCTGAATGAGGTCTTCTGCTGCTCTCCTCGGTGTCTGTTCACAGTTTAATGTGAACACGTTGAGAGAAGAGAGAGTGTATTGCAGTGTATTTTTGGAATGGCGACGCGATAGCTTACAGCGGCCCACGGCCACACCGAGTCCAAACCATGGTGTGGGGCTGTTCGTTATAACGAAACATATCGGTTGACGATAGGAAAACATCTATCGTTTCATATCACTCTGGGCCTGTCTCAATAGAGATTGACAGACCACGTGACTTTGGCGCATTGCATTGTGGGTGGCAACAAAATCAAAAAACTCCATCAAGCGCTAGCATTTCCAGCACCGGTGATCATTAATTCTGCGGTCCTAATCCCTACTTGCATTTTATTTGCCCCAAAAACATATATGTGAACACGACAGGTCCATACAAAGCCAGACTTCACGAAAAGGCAAAAAAAAAAGG